CTTGGCACCTCTTTTGGTTCAATTTCTTCAAAGGGAGAATAAGATAGCTTTCAGGAGATGTCTGATAAATATTGTTTGGAAAAACTAGATTTTTTTTATTTTTTTAGGTATTTACAAACTAGGACTTATTTCAACCCCTTTAGTGTCACGGGCCCACCGGTGGGCCCAAAATTCATTACATTTTTAACCCTTATGCTGCATTAGGGACATTTTTGGTCTTTTGCAGTTTAATTTCTTTGACCATTTTGGCTGTTTTAATGCAAATGGTATGAAATTTGGCAAAATTGTGACTTTTTGGATACATGTAAAAAATGTGATCCCATTTTGCAAAATATGTATAACACACACTGTGTAGATCAAATAGTAACACTCAGCACCATAAAGACCAAAAATGGCCCATTGAAACCCATTAAAACGTTGTTTAAATCTGAGGCTGTCAGTAATACATGAAACATGATTTTTGCACAAACATCCTTTCATTTTGAAGCAAAAGCATTATATTTGCATTATATAGTGTATTCCACCAGATGACGTCACTACATATTTATTCCCTATGGGTGGAAATGCACCTTATTTTAGGCAATAGGCAATGTTTAATAGGTGGCCATTTTTGGTCTCTAACGCGCTAAGTGGGATTTTTTGCAAAGTGGGACTGTGATAATCCAAATCTAAAGTTTTCTCTTTGCATTTAGTTTATTGAAAATAATTGAATTTTTGTGTTTTTTCCTCTTATACAAATCGATGGTTTCGCAAACAAAACTGGTAATTAAAGGGTTAAAATCCTGAAATTGAATACATTTTTGGTAGTTATGATGAGGACTGATGCTGGTTAAGAGATTTAACTTGGTAAAAGTGGAAAATAATAATAATATATAATATTTTAGGCAATGTTTAATATGTGGCCATTTTTGGTCCTTAATGCACTCAACGGTGTTAAAAATCTAATGCAGCACAAGGGTTAAAACAGTATACTAAACCTAAACTAATCTTGACAAACTATATATCATTTGAAAGCTTACAATCTCTAGTTTTCATATTTGGTGATTGATTTTCAAAACATATTACAGAGGAGCCGTAATTTATCAATTTGCAACAAGAATATTTTCATACTCTAAGGCGTGTTTAGACCTTTACTTTGAAATTGGAATAAACATGAAAAAAATCATGAAAGAAAGGTAGAAACCTGTTTGTTTTCATGCCAAGAGTTCAAAAGATAGCCTCCATTCAATTATTTTAGAAAAAAAAAGGTCTGAAATTTTTTGAAATATAAAGAAAAAAACTATTCACCATTTGAGATGTGGCAGGAAGCTATAGACCATTTCACAAGATGTAAACAACACTGGTCCAGAAACACTTCCTGTTTCAGTTTTTTAACACTACATATAAGCTGGGATAAAATACAACCAACAGAACATTTAAAACTGAATCAAAAAGTTAAACAAACATCTTTAAGATGTTTTCTTTACATGTGAAATAAAGAAAACAGTTACAAACTGAAACAGGAAGTGTTTCTGGACCAGTGTTGTTTACATCTTGTGAAATGGTCTATAACGCACGTACTTGTTTTTTAATGTTTCTTAGAGGTTGAATTCATATCAAAATCTGCCAAACTTCTCATATTACTTCTGAATAGGATGCCTACTTCATAAATTGTATGAAAATTTTGGAAATAATTGTTCATATCACTCAAAACACATATGGAAATGGAGGCGCCCTTATATGGGCAGTAATGGAGTCTGTTTTTTGTTTTTTTTGTGAACTTTTTCTTATTACAATAAACAATAAAGAAATCTAACAAAGAAAGAGCGTATGGCAATCTCAAAATGTACAATATAAATCTTATTGTATTACAAACCAAGATTCACACCTCCCGCACATTATTCAAAAAGACATCCTCTGCACTGTTCGCAAGGGAGAACAAATAGACTTAAGGAGCTCAAAACACTAAAATAAAAAAAAGATAAAAAGAAAAAAAAAGAAAACAGAGGGACTCAACTCATCCGAAGTGTCACTAAACATCTAGTGAAAAAGTTTGGTACTGCGCCCAAACAAAACAGTGAAAGCTCATTTTTTGAGATATCAACCTAAACTTATTCAGATTTTTGGCTTTGATTTTTTTTTTTTTTTTTCAGTTTTAGTGTCGCCCAGGTTTTGAAAATATATATTTTATATAAAATATGAATAATTAATTTTTTTATATTGTACATTTTCATAAACTCAAACTTCTATAACTTTTTTTCGTTTCACATTCTTAATTTATTTCACTTCTACAAAAATCTGCCAAATGTCTTCTTTAAAATGACACCAATCTTATGTCTATATTCCAAAGCATTCTTGAATTGCAACCATTTAAGTTCGAAATGTGCATTTTCATCTATATTCAAAAAAAAGGGGGGGGCGGGGTTGGGGGGGCGTGAGTGACACTTAAAGAGTTAACAAAGAGATATTATACATGGAGAAGTATGACTCCAATTTAATTGATTTATTTATTGACATGTATAAAAATAAAGATAATAGGAAATGTAACGACGAGGCAAGGACGAATCCAAATGCAGTCACTGATAATAATAATAATAATCAAAGAAAAGGGTAATGCAAGGAAAACAAAGAAACTCAGAAACAAAGCTACAGTTAAACAACGACCAACAACCAACAACTGAAGCACAGAGGTTTAAATTCACAGACAAACAAGCTAAACAAGATAACAAGGGGGCTGGGTTAATTAGAAACACCTGGGGGAACTCTTCAACAAGAAAAACTACAAAGGACTACAAAACATGGCACAGAACAGGAAATAACTAAAGTCCACAAAAGACAAGGGAAACACAGACAGGAATCATTACAGCAAACTTATTTCAAAACTATATCTAGCCATTTAATCCGTAAAGAAACAATCAACAAATAAAGTGGGGAAAAGAATGTAGATATTTCAGAGGAAGACTGGCTGAATATCGGTTCTGTATACAGGCGACTTCTGTTCTACCAGCTCGGGTTTGTGGAGAGAATTCTGTTGGCGGAATCTTATTAGATACTTTATAACCCCCAAATCAAAATCTATTCAGTCTGGCGAGAAGGGAAGTGGTCTATGTTGGAGGAAATGTGGGGAACAGCTGGCTGCCCATTTCCATGTATTCTGGAGCTGCAGCCATTTAGTTATTGGCAGGAGGTATAATACAAGTAATACATTTTATTTTCGGTGATGGAATTGACTGTTCATTTTCTACAATTTACCTGGGCAACTTAGCAGCTCATTTAATGATAAAAGACAAGTACCTTTTAATATTAGCAACCAGCAAGAAAGCTGTAACACAAAAGTGGCTTCAATTTGATCCCCCAACAAAGGCTGAGTGGCTGGACATTATGACCAATGTCCAGAATATGGAGAGGATGACTTTTGCTTTAAACTTACAGATGGATAAATATTTGTAGTATTGGGTAAAATGGATTGTGTTTACAACTTCATGACATGTTTATTGACCAGTGCAATGCACCATCTGACATATATACTCTCATACATTTTGCTTTAGGCCTATGTAAGAATATACCAAACGACTGCCCTGAACGATTGTATGTTGATGATTTTTTTTTTCATTGCTGTTTTTTGTTTCTGTTATGTTTTTGTTTTGTTTAAAAGGAAAAAGAATAAAAAATAAAGCTTTGTTGTTGTTGTTGTTGTTGTTTTTAACTTGCTTTGAACCAATCGGATCGCTTGGGTCCTAAGCTGGGACCCATCTCTTCAGTGTGACCAGAGAAAGTCTAATATGGGCTTTGGAAATCGCTTTAATGCCTGGTTACAAATCAGAGAAAATCCAGGTCTTATGTGTGGTTTCATGGTTATGACGCACCACACCATAAAACTATATCAAATATGACTCAGGGTTCAACATTAAGCCTTTTCAGCCTTTTCAAGTTAATTGGTCATTCAGCTTTGACATATTCAAATCTGCATGTTCATTATATTTTAATCTCTACAAAAGGGCCTTTTCCTTAATCATTTTAAAAGCTTCATCTTTCACTTTAAATTGTTAAATTTGATAATTAAATTAGAATAATAAGATACTATAGGGCTGTTACCAGTCAAATTATATAATTTACACAGAACAATTACACCTGCATTAAATTATGTAATAGTTTTGAATATTTATTTGAATATACAAATAAGAAATGTTGGAAAGAACTTTTAAACACGAAACTAAACCGCCAGTAGGTGGCGGCAGGCGACCGTCCAAATGAATGAGTGACTTTAACGCATTTGACGCAAGGATGCTCATCCATTTCCGGTTGTGGAGATTAAAGCGGAGGAAAACCATGAGGGAAACCGAGGAAAACGGGATTATGGCAGAGTCTTCAAAATGTACTGTCCTCCCGTCTTTGAAACGAAACGTACATACGTTTAGATGTAATTTTATATATAGTTATGTTTATTTAATATAATTTTAAAAAGAAGCATAAACACAACGAGGAGTGTCTGTTTTATGTGTTTATGTGACTAACGTTTCTTTAGTATAACCATCGAGTATAAAATTCAATATAAATTCTCGGTATTGCATTGGACTCTACGATAGGTGGAAGTTATCGAGCATACACCTTGACCGGAAATACCGCCGTGCATAGAGCCCATTACTTGTTTATTGAACATATGAAATATGGATCATTTGAAGTGTTTCACATTTTCAATCGCAATGATATTCTGCACTCTTGATCGTGTGATATTGCTTAACTGTATCATATGCAAATGCAGTATAAAAACTCCTTAGCTATCTTTTTTTTTACCGCAGTATGTTAACTGAGTTTCTTTGTGTGATCACGCTCATTTGTTGCCATGAATAAAAAAAATAACATTTTTGGATTTAATGAATGAATGTGCATAGAAAACCCCCTTTTCTCTTAATGTTAAAGGGATGTAGGCCTATGTCTATCAGCGAAAAAGTTTAGAACGAGCCTGGCGTCGTTTGGAATCACATACTATGACGTCATAAAGCACCAAGCGTGGAATTATTCAACAGAACAGAAAGGCGATTCTGTGTGCGACTCAGTTTTCTTGATGATAATTCTGCTGTTTTCGAATGGAAATGATCATAGCTTTTAAAAGAAAAATGAGTTCTGGCAGCCCTGAAGTGTTCGTGCCCCAGAGAAAGAGGAGGAGGACGGAGAGTTTTGACGAGGGGCCGGACAGAAAGAGAAGGAGGATGGAGAGAAAGAGGGGGAGGACGGAAAGTTTTGACGAGGGGCCGGAGAGAAAGAGGAGGAGGACGACGGAGAGTTTTGATGAAGGCCAGGAGAGAAAGGAGAAGAGGGAGTGCAGTTTTGAGAAGCTGCCATCTCTTAACTTCGTCAGTCCGGCATCAGTTGGCAACAAAGTGGACTTGACAGTTAAAGGTGAGTTTACTGCTATAATCTCAAAGATTACACACTTTTCAGTGCTGAAGTTTCATGTTAATTTGGGTTGCAACTGCCACCCTAAAAATAAAGCATTGCCACCCCATCTGCCACCTCAGAATCATCATCAGACAGACACACACATAATCAGTATTTCTTCTGCTGATTTTAAGCAGTGGCACTTCAATGTGGAAAAAAATGTCACTTAAGTTTGTGATTTATTTGGTCTATGTAAAATAATAAAATAACTTTTCTTCTCTTTGTTTGTTGTAAAGATACTACGTATAAATGTACTAGCTCAGAGACATTTTTTTAATCTTTTGATGTGTTTAATGGCCAGTGTAATGATTTGGTGCCCTGGATATTGACATTTAATTTTAATTTTTTAAATTATTTTTTAAACAGTATAGATTATTTTTTGTGTTAATTCTGCTGATTTTCACATTCATTTATCCAAATGTGTATGTAAATCAAATGAACATGTTATGAGACATTGGTTTTGTTAACTACAGCTCTGTGCTTCAAAAACACTTTAACCTAATTATGGCCATCCATTATTGAAGAATAGGGGGATTTTTTGTTCCTAGAATCACGTGTCATTAATTATCATAAGAAAAAATCCACACCTTCACAGTTATTTCAAAATGCAATTGATTGAAGTTTAATTAAGGGCAGGATCAGATTTGTATTCCATGACTTCTGTTCAATCTTTAAACACAGATAAAAACACATGGAGAATTGTTACCTCCTGCAAGAAGAGAAAACAGAGTTCTCACCGAGACGAGGGGCCTGCGAGAAAGAGAATTAGGACAAATAGTGTTGAGGTGGTGTCCGCACCCTCTTTCTGTGACCCGAAAGGCAGCTCAGATCAGGTTCAGGATCAGCATATGGAGGTTGAGGATCCTGTGCCGATATACGAGAGACATGCTGAAGGTAATTGTTTTTTTTTTTTGTTTTTTTTCTCCGTACAACAAAAACTTAATCATAATCATTAATCATTAAAAACATAATCCTTCAGCTAGATATGAGTATCCATTAATGGAAGCTTAATTAACCTTAAGCATAATCATAAATGCCCCTAACTGAATGTATGAGAATGAAGAATTTCATTATTATTTAATTAAATCATGTTTTTGGTTAATATTTTCAGAATTACATCAAAATGTAGTGGCAGATTTCAGTGGCCTTGAAGTCCAGCCGCCTGCAAACCCGCCAGATATTTTGAGCCGGTATCAATTTGGCAGAATACTTGGTCAGGGAGGATTCGGCATTGTCTATGAAGGGAAACGCCTGGAGGATGGCCTTGAGGTATCATTATTCTACATATAATATTTGTGTATATTTTGTCCACTTTTAGTGCACTTGTTTTGACAAATGTTTTGTTTTGTTGATCAGGTGGCAGTAAAAATTGCCAGAAAGCAGAGTAATATGCAGTACATTGCCATTGTAAGTAGACTACTCTTTCCATGTTCTTTGACATTTTTTAATTTAAAACATGTAAACAATTTGTTCAAGACTGGGCTAAATCTTTATTTGGGAAAGCACCCCATCTAACAATGATAATGATCTTTCTTCTAGCCTGGTCATCCCGCACCCCTTCCATTAGAGGTCGCCCTGTTGATCCTGGTGAATAGGGACCTTAAAGTTCCACAGATCATCCAGCTACTGGACTGGCAGGACGAGCTTGACCACTTGATCATGGTTTTGGAGCGCCCCTTACCCTGCACAGATCTGCGTAACTACGTTGGGCTCTTTAGAGGAACACTCAATGAAGTTTTAGCAGGACTTGTCATGTGGCAAGTAACATACGCCGCTAACGCATGCAGTGCCAGTGGAGTTCTCCACCATGATATTAAGATGGAGAATCTACTGATCAATCCACAAACATTAGAGATTAAACTGATTGACTTCGGATGCGGGGATCTCCTGAAGGAATCGGCATATAATCATTTCCGTGGTATGTATTAAGACTTAAAACTGTAGTTTAGGACTTAAACTGTAGCATGTCCTATAGGAAGCTTACTCATCAGACACAATGTCTTTCCTTCAGGCACACCAAATTATTGCCCCCCTGAGTTCAGAACAGAGGGCAGGTACCATGGGAATCCTGCAACTGTGTGGTCACTAGGAGTCCTCTTATTCAGAATTGTGTGTGGACACTTTCCAATGCCCAGTGACCTGCTGATGATTAATACGGGCACTTGGAATCAGCCTGGCTTGTCACACGGTAAGATGGTATTCATCACAAAAAAATGAAACCTTCTGAACTTACAGTTTAGAAGCTCAAATCTTACAGCTTATTACAAAGATAGCAGATGTAATGTCCAAGGTTATAATCTGACTCTCCCGTCTCTCTTTGTCTCTCGTCGTTCTGCACAGAATGCTGTCATCTGATTCAGTGTCTCCTGCAGCTGGACCCAAGCGGGCGGATTGGTTTGGAGGAAATCCTGTCCCATTCATGGTTTCAGTCACTGAGCCTATGATCAGTTACTAATGGCTTAGAAGAAGTATTCACATGTTGACTCTCAAGTTGAAGTATGTTGAAATGTTGAAGTATTCACATTTTGACATATAATTTGTTTTTATATGTTGTATCTTTATTGTTTGTAACACAATTCTGAAGTCAAATCTCTTCTAAATATAACGTATGTAGTCAATAACTGTCTGTATTTTGTTTCAGGCCATCCTGTAAGAAGAAAGAGATCAAACTGATTGACTTCGGATGCTGGGATGTCCAAATGGAATCTGGTTATAATCAATTTTGTGCAATCTATTATAACTGCACAAAACACCACAGACGTACCCGGGGTGGATGCAGGGACCCGACCCGTACGGCATAGCAGCCAGGAGTGAGGTTTGAGTGTGTGGTGCAACACGGACCCGCTTCCGTCGAAGAGCAGAGTGAGTGTGCGGAGGTGTCAGTGCATCCGGGACACATTTTTTTTTATTCAGACCACACAAACCAAACGATTTTTTTTCATGGGTTAAACATCTGAGCATCGAAGGCGATGCAGGCAAGGTAATAAACGTTTAAAATACTGACATGTGACTGACAACCAAGCCGGATACGTTAGAGTGTTTACATATGTATCCTAGGCTGCAGGATACGTATGCAGTTGGTGAATTTGATCATGGGCTGAATGACGTGACCAATCTGGCGAAGAAGTTCGAAGCGCTTTTGGAGGAAGCAGACGATGCGGTCACGGGGCGCTTTTGTCAACAATACAACGAATTCAAGTTCATGGTTAATGAAAAAAGGAAAATCGGAGCGTCTGGGGAGCGATCTTTTTTTTTCCTAGGATGGTAGGGAAACACTTATAAATGTTATTAACCCCAGTGACAGGTAGGTTTAGGGACAGGATTGAGGTAAGTCATATATTTATATATACAGTAATAACGTTAAGTCAACAGTGTTCAACACGCTGAAAAGCGATTATGCATCTTGATAGCACGCCAAAAATGGAAATACGAATTGGCGTGTCATACACACGCTACTTCATGAGATCAGTCTGTGTCTGATCAAAGTGACCCTGCTTAACCTGATAACCATGTAGGTTAATTCTGTTTTAATATATTTGCAGTTGTTAAATGTAATAATGATGATTTTGTGTTTTTAAGAGAAATTATGTTTCTCTTTTGGTTAACCTGTTTTTCAGATGCTGTTCTTTGGAGAGATGTGTTTTCGGCCTGCAGACAAGATGAGCCACCTGGCCAGATAGGACTATCATCCTCAATAAAGTTCAAATGATATGTTTTGTAACCTAATTTTTGCGCTAGTTTGTTGCAGTTATTACATTTTTTTATAGGTAACCTTTAGGAAAAATTACACTATGTTAATTTAATAGGCCTATAATTAATGTTAGGCACTGCATTAGCATTTTTTCTTTCAATGAAGTTCCACTTAAATTTTGTACCTGTTGAGAAATGACTAAACATCTTGGATACTTTATATATATATATATATATATATATATATATATATGAAGAGTTCAGATGCAAAAGCCTCTAAGTGCCATTTGAAATTTTCTTCTAGAATGATCATTTTTATCAATTTCACTTAAATTACAATTCATAGGTAATCTTCATCCCCATTTAAGTGAAATTAATGAACTTAAATATACTAGCTTGATAAAAATGATCATTCTAGAAGAAAATTTCAAATGGCACTTAGAGGCTTTTGCATCTGAACTCTTCATATATATATATATATATATATATATATATATATATATATATATCATTATCAGTCATAACCAGTTAACCAGTCATAATAACCTTTCTAAACCTTATTGAAACCTTATCAAACAAAGATCCTTTAAGTTTAACTAGACTGGTAAAACACCATCATTAAAATGTTCCCAAAGTCCAACGATTATAAAAGGATATTGAATAAATAGCAACCTTGTAGACATATTGATGCATTTGCTGTTGTCATCTCTTTGAATCCCCTATGGCTAACGCAGGCTCGTGGTAATTTTCGGCACAACGGCAGGTCGTGTGGTTCCGAATGGCTCACAGTATTGAAATGTGCACTCAGAAAAAATTAAAAATTAGAGGGAACATTGACCCATATGTTTCAGAAATTGCTCTTTTGCTGAAAATGTGCGTATTAGATGTAACGAGTAAAGTAACAGATTACTTTATAGATTTAATCATTAATATAAATGACTTTAAAAAGAAATTAAATAGTATTAGCGTTTGTGAGGGTGAGATTAGACAATCAAGTGTACGCAAAAGCGTTGTGGCCCAGAATGTTCAAGAAACCTTCATCCACACTATTGGACACTGTTGTTGGGTGACAGCTTGAACATTTTTTAAACTACTGAGTTCAAATTCTCTCTTCTCAATGATGTAATAACTCATGGATGTACAGGAACTGACACAAAGAAAATAACAAGACACATTACTTTCAATAAAAAGAATTGTATTTTTATGGATTATGTGTTTTTATTCTTATTCATAGATCAGTGGTTCTCAACCATTTTTTACTCAAAGGCATTTCATTGTCCAACACAATTTTCAAGCTTTTTTATTTCTTTCATGTTATTTATTGTTTCTATCAAGACCCATTAACACCAAGCATGATAACTATATTAGCATGGACACCAAACACATGCAATGTTTATTTTTAATTCACTTAGGAAGGATTTTGATTGGCTATCAGTGTTTTATCATTCATCTGCTAGGGAAAAAAAAGATGTGACTCCAACGATATCGTTTCTATGTTGTAAGCTGCAAAATATGTGTAACACAATACATGTAACAACAATATAGCCATTAAGAAATATCTGAATGCAAAAATACTGTGAACATAATGTAAAAGACCAATTATTCATAAAGCAGAGTATTAAACTGATCATTTTAAGATAGATATTTATTTTATGTAAAGAAGTACAATCAAATTATAATTCCCTTTCCCAGCTTTTATTTCACAATTATGTTGACATTTGAACACATTCAGAAACAGATAAAACGGCATTTACAATTCAGACTGATTGGTCACCAAATCCCAATAGTAGCTTCTGCATACCTGAAGATCTTTAATGGGTAGTTGGGGGAAGGTTTACACTGTTCTCATTAATATTATAATAATATTATTAATAATCAATACTAATTAACATGGTGACAGACAGTTGTGTGAGCTGACAAACAAATCAAATAAAAATAAAAATACACACGTAGTCATTGTGCTTTGGGGTTTATTTAAAATTATAAATGAATGTGCCACTTGAATACATAACTGGCACATTTGGTTAACAGTGGTATTCTGTCAACTCAGGCTTTGATCGTTTAGCTGTAACATCAGTAGCGAACAGCCAGTATGCTGAAAGAGTTTATAGAATTTTAAGAATCTAAACTAAGGTTTACACAAGATTCGTCGTTTTTTAGGAGGTGATGGAAACTACAGTCGTTGGCAGCCAGGCAGGAACACTCTAATTTCGTTTAAGGCTTATTCAAAACAATCACGTTTAAGCCATTGAATTAGTTTAGTCCGGTTATACGTACAACCGCGAACAACATGTTGTCCCAGAGCTCCGTAACGAGTAGCCTAACGACATCTCTCATATAGATTTGCGACTTTAAATAGTAAAATATTTTTCCGAAAAACAGCCTCTTTGCTAAATAACACACAAAATACCATTGGAATGCTACTTCAAAAATGTGTACATCTAGAATTTTACCCGTTTAATGTCCATAATTTTAACGAAAACGACTGCTGTGAACAATACGAGTTTGCATATCTTCAAAGTCACTTGAATTAGTTAAGCCAGGAGCAGTCTTTTTCAGTTCAGTTGCAGACAGTTGTACGTTTTTTGTTTTTGTTTGTTTTTCTTTCTTTTTTTGCTTCAAATAAAAAAAAGGTAATGTTGGTTATGGTTCATGCTTTAAAACCTTTACAGAACACAATAATTAATTAATAAAAACATTGATCAGGAAAAAAGAACCAAGCACGCATGCGCACGTTGAAGGCTGTAACGTTACAGTTTTTGCTGTTAGGAAATCTCACTTTTGTTTGCTAAATTACTGACGAATTTACTGAATGTTCTTTGAAGGCTTGATTTCAACGATAACGATGTCAAGACAGAAAATATAAATCATGATTTTAAATTAACTTAAGCGTACTGTTTACGAAAACCTATTATTATTATAACACAAACAATGTTTTTAGAAGAGGAATAAAAATAAGTAATGTTGGTGATCCAAATCCAATCTCCAAATGTCTGCCATGAAGGCTAAATCGCTTCAGGACTCAAGCGTGAGGTTACTCAATCAGGACTCAATCAGGTGAGTTAAAATGCTGAACTGTTCAGTTATGTTCAACCACATCTGCTAATTGCGGAAAATAAATAGAATACAAATGTGTAGCTTTGTACGCTTTTTATTTAACCCATCCAGCAACCACAGTATCCGATAATAACATCAACCATGAACAATGTTTCCAAAAACTTTTCTAAATATTTTCACAGTACGAAATTAAACATACGATTAGCCTATCTTACATCTGCAAATAAATTAAGTGAATGCAATTAAGTCATTTAATAATTGCCACATGTTTTTAATCAAACATACAAATAGGCCTATTAAAATAATTTTGTTTGTGTTTGTGTACTCTACACATATAAATATAAAAGTGCATATAGCCTAAATTCATAGTAGTCATGTCTTAAGTGTCTTTCTCTGGATTGCTGTATTCATAAGTCATTCTTTAGCATCTATTTACATAATGACAGGCTGTTTTCTTCACTGAAGAAAAGTTGATGATGTCTTAAAACATACTAAATTCTTCTAAATTCGTTGATAGCCATTGAACATTCAGATTGCGAGTCTAGCACAAACATATATAGTTAGGGATAGTTTTGTCAAAAAATAAAATTCTGTTCTTATTTACTCACCCTCATATATATAATTCTCAACCTGTATGACTTTCTTTCTCGAAAGAATTTTTCAGCTGTTTTTGTCCACACATTGAAAGTCAGGGGTCCAAAACAAGACCACTTTGACTCAATATGGACATTGTTGGGTGAACAATCCCTTTCTATATTGTCTTTTATCTTGATTCATGAAAATATATAAAAATATTATTAGACATTAGAAACCATACTCAGAAAAATGACATTAATACAATTTACATTTTCACTATTTTCTTATATAGACAATGCAGTCAAATAACGACACTCTAGCAACCCACAACACAGGGTTATTATAGTTGAACTTTTTTATTGTTTGCAATAAAACAATAAAAAAAATATATATTTTTTATAAATACAATTTTTGTTAATTTTATTTAATGTTCTGCAATATTATTTGGCAGTGCACTGACACAATTGGATGAGAACCAACTGAATTGATCTGAACATCACGGTTTTCTCCAGAGCTGCTTTATATCTGAATTGAACTCATTCCATAATTGAAGAACTTTACACAGTTATTGAGCTGAACTGAATCAACAGTGAACTGATTGCAGTTGAATAATGACTGTCTACTGTTGTATTTTTAGCTTTGAAGTCATGCATCACTGAATCTTCCTCTTATACTGTAAAAAATCTGTATTGTATAAAGTGCTATACAAATAAAGGTGACTTGACTGTAGATTTTTTGCCTGAGATTAGAAGCGATTTAACACACACATACAAGAATATAATATAATATAATATAACTACAGATCTTTAAAAATGTGGTTGGATGAACGCTGTTATACGTTGAAGAATGAATGCAGCCTTGTTGTGCACCTTTACTAACATTAAACCATCCCGTGTTTCTACATTCCAT